TATTTTTTGGTTTTATTTTATTCTTAGTTTTTGCTTTTTTTCTTGTATCTGTTATGGCTAATCTCTATGTCCGTTTTTTGGTTTACTCTGCTTGTGTCCTGTTTGATTTTGTTCTGCTTACACATTTTTTCCTAGTTTTTCCTAGTGCTGTTAACCTTTGTGTTTAGTCGTGTTCGGTAGTTTTCTGTGCTTTTTAATTATAATGTATTCCACCTGTTTCTTGTTGTCCTGTGTCTGTACTGATTTGATAATTGAGTTATGTTTTTCACCTATCCAGCATCATGTCCTCTTAGTGGTGTATTTAAGTGCCTGCCTTTGATCTGTTCTTTGTTGGTTTGTTGTTGCTGTTTATTCATGTTGTATACATTTGTTAGTAGTATTCTTAATTAGTGATGGGCCGATGAAGCTTCATGAAGCTTTCGGGCATTCCCCATATTGTGCTAGAATGTGTCTTGAGTCTTCAAACTTTTTTTTTTTTTCCAAACGCAGAAAGACCCCTAGTGGGTTCCAGAAATGCTTCGAACAATCTAAGAATGAAGTCTGTATGTGTTTGCATCAAAGGAATAATGTGGCTTGTATGACAACAGGATCTGACTGTGTTACAGTATGCACGATGCCCAAAGGTTTCATCTTAGTTTTATAAAAGTTTTGAAGAGCTGACAGGATTCGAAACCTCCGACACTTAAGGACAAATCGAACGTCGTTGGTCATGTGATGTTGCATAAACAAAGCAAACTCCCAGCTTCTAGTTGCTAGGCTTCACTTTGACAAGAATACTGAAGTGTCAGTATTATATGTCCCATCACTATTCTTAATGATTAGTCCCTTTTAGTTAATTGTAGTCCTCCTGTATTTCACCCTGTCCCTACTTTTATGGTTCCCAGTGTCATATTAGCAGGTAAGGGTTGATTCAAATGCAGGCTGTTCTCAAAAAAACCTATGTAGGGGTTTATTTAGGAGCATAGGATGGGCTCACAAACGCAGACAGATTACAATGGCCGAACCAGGAGGACAGGACTGGGAGACGCGAATACACCTGACTAACAAAGGAGCAAACACAAGGCAGCTGCGAGAGGATGAACAAGGGGATCAGACAGGCAGAGCAGCCTATATGTGACACCCCCCCCCACCCCCTACAAAGGAGTGCCTTTCAGGTGTGCAGGACAGGCTGGGGAGGGGACCCAGGGGACCAGACGAGAGGAGATACACATGGGGCCAAGATGCGGGGCAGGATCAGGTGAATAAGACAGGGTCAGACATTAGACAGGCAGACACTTGGAACCAAAGACTTGGGGAAACAAAACAGAACTGGAAACAGGATCAGGCAAACTGAAAAATTATACATTACACCAAAGGGATGACGGCAGACCTCATGGGGGACACACAACAGGACAGGACA